CTCTGCAGAAATCATGACACATCTGAGCACAGGAATATTGTTGGCGAGGTGAAATTCTCATAAAAAATGGAAGCAAGCAAAAGTCTCCATTTGCTCATTTAATCTCCCTGATGTCCAAGGGAGAAACAATGAAGATACTGAAGCTATCTTATTTGTGATTTTAGTGCTAGTCGAATTGGGTCTGGCTCCGTTTTAGAAGCTTCTGTTGTGGTTGAAGTGAAGCATGAGGTAAATCACAGTTACCCAGATGAATCTGTTTCATATTTGAAATCGGCCACATGCTCATGAGCTTGATTCAAGCATGCGTAAACACAAACAGTCGCTTACAGGCATGTACGCACTCCACATTGAATCCACATTTAAGTGCAGATGCCTGTTTCTCTTTTGGCTTCCTCTCTGAAATCCTCCCCCTACCCTAATCGCAAAACAGTTACTTAATGGGATCTCGCTGTCACCCGGAGAGACCGGCCCAATGCATTCTGGGTAACACAATCCAGCTGTACTCAGGAGTTGCTGACGGAAATGTGTATTTATCTGTGTGTGTCAATATGTGTGCGTGGCTGTGAGTAATTTCAGGACAGTATTATTGTTATTCAAAGAAACACACACTTACACCTCTGTACAAGTAAATGTTAAACTACGTGTGTTCAGGGGCGTAGCACAAGATCCCGGGCCCTATGTATAGGCAGTCCTGATGGGCCCCCATGTTCCAAATAAAATATATTCCAGACTTTTCAAGGGCCCTCTCTCCCCTTAGGGCCCTGGTAATCAGTACTGGTTTTACCCCCAGTCCGATGCCCCTGCGTGTGTTTCACACATATTGAAACTGTAGCTTTTTAAGCTAAAAGCTCATTTAAAATGGGTCAACTGCAAAAGTCAAGCTACTAGTTAGAAAAATGTAATTAGCTACACTACAAGCTACTAAGCTACACTATTAAAAAGAAGTAATTAGCTACACTAAGCTACTAACAATTAGTTGGCTATACTTCAAATTAGCTGTTAGCTAAACTACAAACTACTAAGAATAAGTAGTTGATTACACGGCAAACTAAGTAAGCAGCTACCTACTACACTATTAACAAAACTATTTAACCACACTACAACTAATAACTGAAATAATTAGCTACACTGTAAGCTATTATCAAAAATTAAAAGATAGATCACAAGCTATAAGCAAAAGCTGCATCTAAATATTTTATCAGTAGCGTGTATATAATTAACTAACAAGAATAGTTAGCTACACTGCAAGCAAACAAAAACTGTAGCTAAATGTAGCCTTTGGTGTAGCTAAATATCTATTAACATAAATAGTTGTCTACACTACAGTCTACTAACATAAGTTACTAAATACACAAAATTAAAAAGGGGCAATATCTTTGAAAACATAACTATCAGTATTTACTATTTTCTTGTGTTAATCAAATAGGCTAGTACATTTATATCAATACAAGTAATAAAAGTACCAAAACCCTATAAAAAAAACGGATGAACAGCAGTATTTAGCAAAATATTTAAAATTGATTTAAAAAAAGACCATGAGTCACACTTCCCAATGCTACGATAAAAATGAAACCACTAAGCTTCTGTAACACTATATATATTCTAGATAGTAGCACCACTTATTTTAGTTAGTTCCCCAATAACTGTCTTTCACTGTCTCTGGTCCCTCCTCATGATTATGATATTAACAAATTACTCTACACACACACACACAGTACTGAACTTTCTGAGTCTCTATGCAGGATTTAGGCAAAGCTTTCCGTTTCGGCTGTATTTATTTAGAATTTTGCCATTCAAAAGAAGTTTTTAAAGGAAGGATAAAGGATTAAAAAAGAATGAGTGAAAAACAAAACCCAAACTAAATTCTGCGTAAACGGGGTCATTCGAGGTGTCTCATATTGTGTCTCTCCACTTTCTAAATCTTGTTTTATCCCCCTCTCCGAGCCCCCTCTTTCATCGCTGACTAAAATTTAAAAAAATACATATTTGTCAAAAGTAATGAGAAATTTAATAATAATGCAAACGGATGTTTTTTTTGGTTTCATTTCCAAATTCATTTCTCTCTATCATTGGTCTCATTCAGCTTGGCATTTATTCATCATTCATGGCTTATAAATAAAATGAAGCTGAGCCAAACCCAGAGGGAGTGTGTGTCTGTGTGTGTTGGAGTAATACCTGTGTGCATTTTTGGGTGTGTGTGTGTAAGCATGCCGTTCTTGTGTGAGATTAAAATAAGTGTCATAATCAGAACGACTTTGTTAAAGAGATAGTTCACCCAAAAATGAAAGTCCAGTTATCATTTACTGACCCTCATGTCATCAAGAATGTTTGAAATGTTTTGTCTGTACAATGCAATTCAATGGGGTCCAAAACGATTTTCATTGACTATTTTCAACATTTCTTCATTTGTGTGAAGAAAAGTGAAGGGAAAATTCTGATGACAGATTCTGATTTAAATTTTTGGGTGAACTGCACATCCCCAACGCTCCCTTTATAAAAAGCATGCTGTAAATTATAGGCAATCATTATTAATCAATGATTAAGATTTAATCACTTTGGTGTGTGAGCAATGAAGGGAACAAAAGGTGTTTTGGTGGCATTCAGCTCTGCTTCACCTGTGACCTCCTTCTGCTCCTCATGCCACCCTCGTCAAACCTGTTTTCACGCAATCAGTTGTGACAGAAGTTTGGCAGACAAGTGCATGAACCCTGAAACAAATAAAGCGAGAGTGAGAGAGAGAAATGTCAAACCCTCTAGAAGCCCCATAGCTCCCTGTGATGAAGATGGATTTTTAGGGTTATTGCAAAATTCCTGCCGTGCCGGTGGGATTGTGCATATGCCAGAGAAAAAAGGGAGAATGGAAGGAGGGCAAAATGAAAGGTATCAACCCACTTTAATGAAATAGCTCTAGTTTCTGTCAAAAGTCAAGCAACCTACAGAGAGTCCAAACACAGTGTTTAGCAAGAGGGAAGATGGAACGGAGAGCCAAAAAAAAGTGAAGGACAAAGCTATACATACAATAAATGTGGAAAAACTACAGCTAAAACACAGTTGGTAAAACATCAAAACTAAAAATACATCAAATAAGACGGAGAGGGAAAGCAAAGGATTATCAGACTAAGATGAAATGGTTAAATAATTATGACTCAACGAATTAAGCCAATTTGAATGTCACATCAGCTAAACACAAGGCAAAGTAGGTGTTCACTTTTAGAAACATGGTAGCTGGTTTCTAGCTGGTTCCAGTTGACAATTTACTGGTAGATACTGTATATTTTACCAGCTACAGAAAGCTGATGTTTGGAAAGTGATGCCTGGCAGACCAGCCAATGACTATAGCTTGAACCAAGTATATCATGTTCCACAGCGACGCAACTGAGTCAAACAGTCTTCTTCAACGGAAACATTATCAGATCAGATTAAAACAAACAGAGTAAGCATATAATCACAAGACTATGAGCAAATATAGTCACAAGCCTTCTATAGCAAAGACATTGTCCTTCAAGGGGAAGATGGAAAGAAAGGGCAGAGAAAAAAGATAAATGGTTGATGCGAGAAAAAGAGGCTCACAAAAGGGAGCTTGGACAGGGGGAAAAAAATGATGAAAAGAGTGAGTGTACCTGTCAAATGAATGGTTGTTCATCTCCCTCAATAGACTGACCCTTTAGCGATCAGGACTCTTGTTGGAACAGTAAACTATTCTTTGTACTCACAAACATACACATTGTTACCTCTGCAGAGGAGAAGATGGGAGGCTTCGTTAGCCCTTTGTTCACCAAATCAAAGACATCTGAGAGATTATTGAACAATTAGACAAAAATTACACAAGGACTTTTATTGAAAATTAATTAATTAAATTAAAATCACTACAAGGCCTTCTGCCATCTAAGCAAGTAATGATTTCGTTTTTCACTTTTATATAGCTACTTATATTCAGACATTCTTACTTGTGTCAGTGAAGAGTCGAGAAACTGGGTGGGCTCCTCTAGGACACATTCGGGGATGAGGTCTAAACTCTCTGGGATGAACTCATTAAGCAAACAGTGGAAAGAGTAAAACTAAATGAAAGGCAGGTCAACAGACATTCGGTCAACTGGGCCATATACCACAGCCATTGTAGGATGATCTCAGAAAATGCAGGACAATAACGATAAAAGTTCATCAGCCAGACCACGAAACAAGGTTCCATTATAGTGCACAAATCATCAGGGAAGTCATGTACCCATTTATTCATTTTTACTGAGAAGACACTAGTGGCCATTTTGACTCATTCAGAACATGTATACTGAATATTTCTAGTTATTAATGAGCAATACAATAATAATGTAGTTAATGGGTGATTTCTGCCACAGCATTTTAGACCAACTTGTTTTTTCTTACCTGCAATAATTGTGCAAACTAATTATCAAAGTTTGATTGGATCAATTCTGGTCATCACAACAATTAGTTAGTCAACATTACTGTGCCCTACTGTGGTTCTTGTTTTCTTTGTGTAGGGATGAAGTTTCAAAGACTTGACAAAAGCTTAAAAAATGCCTGTTTCTGTTTGTATAAGTCATGCAAAGCAATTGTTAAAAACTGGTTTTGCTTGAGGACCAAAATTTGTAATTTTATACAGCCCCAACAAAAGAACCAACATGGTATAGCAGACAGAAGCAAACAAAAATGTCTTTAAAAGACTGAACATCAAACAATGAAATGTATTAATATTACAATGAACTGCATAGGCCGGCCATGGGATGTCCAATCCTGCTCCACGTCCTGCAGTGTTTAGCTCCAAACTGCTCCAACACACCAGACTGAAAGTTTGCCTTAGAGGTTGTGAAAACTTTGGTTAGCTGTTTCAGGTGTGGTTAATTAGGGTTGGAGCTAAACTTTGCAGGACAGTGACCCTCCAGGAGCAGGATCGGACACCCCTGTGAAAAGCCCAACAATGTGTAAACTCATACAGTAAAATTTTTTTAGTTTTGACATTGGGTTTCTGTTTTTTTCTATTCCAGGTTTCAATCACAAAGGCCAGACGCTGACCGACAATGCGGCCATTATCTCCCCTGTCTCATCTCATTTTGTTTCACTTACTGTGTGGATCTCTGAGCAGCAGATGTCCTCAAAACTGCACTTGCATCACCAGTAGCTCCATCTTCTGTGTCCAGCAGTACTTGATCTACATGCCTCGTGGCCTCCCATCCTCCACAAAGAACCTCTATGTCTTTCAGAACAACATCAATACCTTGCAACAGCAGGACTTTGTAGAGCTTAGCGAGCTTGGAATGCTGGACTTGAGTCAGAATGCCCTCAGTGAAATCCCTGATAGGGTGTTCAGCCCTCTCTCCTCTCTACACAACCTGGATCTCTCCTCAAACCGCATTACTCAAATTTCCAAAGACAGTTTCACTGGACTGGTCAACCTGGAAAGGCTTTATCTCTACAGCAACCTCATCCAAAGCATTCACCCAGCTGCTTTTGAGGGACTGGAGAACCTACTGGAGCTGAAGCTTCAGGGCAATAAGATTAGTGTGTTGCCAGCTCTGCGACTGCCCAGACTGCTCCACTTGGACCTTAGTTATAATAGTATCCCACCCCTTGGACCTGAAGATTTACAGACACCACACCTTGAGTCTCTTAAAATAGCTGGATTGAAGCTGACCAGTCTGGACGAGGAGCTTCTCAGGAGCCTGGCGAACCTACATGTTCTGGATGTTTCACAGAACCTGCTTGCAGAGATACAACCTACACTGAAGGCAATGGGAGGCCTACGAAATCTCAATTTAACCGGGAATCCCTTGGGATCCCTAAAACAAGAAGACTTCCAAAATATGGTTAACTTGCTAGAGCTTGACTTGAGCAACCTTTATTTGCAAGGCTTCCCCGAGGGCTTCTTCAACTTTTTCCCCAAACTTGAGAAGCTCACCGCAGCTGAAAACCCCTTCAACTGCCTCTGCCCACTGGCCTGGTTCCCAGTATGGCTAAAGGATTCAAATGTAGAGCTGTTGAGGATGGAGGAGACTCGTTGCCACTTTCCGCTAATAAACTCGGGAAAGGTTTTGGCAAAGTTGGAGCATAAAGATTTTGGCTGTCCCACAACAACCATTGAGTTAACAAGCGCAGGGACAAGTAGTACTACGAGCAAGCCCACAAACTCCACAACACCATTAGGGACAACACACGCCATTCCCCCGGCAACACCAAGTGAGATGCCGTCAGCAGACATAGACAGCTTCCCTCTTTCCCAGACCACTGCCTTGCCCAGAAGAATCATAGAAGATTCTGAAGAAGAGGACATTATGTGCCCCCCCAGTATCTGTCTAAATGGGGGAACATGCATATTTGACTCAAATGGGGTGGTTTGCCTGTGCCCGCCTTCAATGTCAGGACTCTACTGTGAGATTAAAAATGAAGCTCTGCTTCCCCCGCCTTCACCTAGAGTTTCTATCGAGACCATTGCTACAGTCCAGCCCAACACAATCAGCTCTCTTCACATAACCAGCACTTCCATTTCATTAGACCTTCACCGTTACATCCACACAAGACCACACATCCGTGGAATTCGTCTGACTTACCGAAACTTGTCAGGCCCCGACCGGCGACCACTACAGCTGAATGTGCCTCCAACTTACCCCGAGTACACGCTTAGAGGGCTACAGCCAAATAGCACCTATTCTGTATGTGCTAGCTCTCTGGGAGAGCCAGTCCATGTCTCAGTTAGTGCCTGCATGGAGGCTCGCACAGCAGGGATCCCGCCCTCCTCCCACGAGCCCAGCGTTGACAGGACCGAACCTTCTTCCTCTCTCATACCCATTGTAGTAGCTGTGGCGGTTGTGATGGTTGCTGCCGTCGTAGCTACTGTTGTGGTCATCCGCCGCAGGAGGAAATCCAAGGCTCCAGTAGATATGGACTTACATGAGACATCTCCTCTGGAGTTGGAGGGAGTGAAAACCAGTCCAGAGAATGGGCTGACGCATCCAAAACAACCCGACATAACCCCTTGCTCATCTTTAACACAAACCAGCTTGGAATATGAGGCACCTTTAATACAAGGACAGTGTCCAGCCAACAACAATGTAGCTTGTACAAAACCTTTGTATGTGTAAAAGCCATATTAGGATTCATACCTCCAGCCCACAGAGGGCAATGTGCTCCATGACTCCTGCAGGCAGGTGCGATGCAGACACTAGATAGACTCTGGTGGGTTGGTGAACATTTTAGTGCATCCCAGCCAAACGCTTAAACTGACTGCCTGTATTTAAACCAGGTGCATTTGCAATTTACATTTTATTACAGAGACAATGTAAGTGCCTTTTATAACCATAAATATCAGCCTCTAATGATAATTTCACTATAAGAAGTGGCCAGATATGAATGAGCACAGTATTGCTAGGCTGGAAAACAGGTCGCTTTAGAGGTAGCTCATTAATTGTGTAGCTGGCTCTGGAAGTGGTAGACAGGAGTCAAAAGATCTTGCCTGGACGCCTGGACTTTTTTTTGTCCAGAAAAAAAATTGCACTGATCAGAAACACTGGGACTGTGAGGTGCCTTAAGAAGCTGAAAGTGATCAGCCTCTTAAAAGATGCTTCAAACAGGTTTTATACAGCATCAAAGCATCTCTCTGTCCCTCTACCCCATCTGTCCTGCACAGGAGATTTGCTGTGAAAAAAACATAATGAAGAGACATTTTCTTACTTTGTCTAGTTTACGCTGTTTTGTTAAAGTTATGTTATTATATTTTTGTATTTTTAAAGGAATATTTCACCAAAAGTATAAATTCTTTTATGCTATTTACTCACCCGTATGTCGTTTCAAACCTGTATGATTTTCTTCCATGGAAGACAAAAGTACAGTTTGCAGAAATAATGTCACAAAAACATTTGAAAGACATTAGGGTTAGTAAATTACAGAATTTTCATTTTCCTTTAAGTGCCATTTCTGTCCTTTTTTGTGTTTAGTTGTTGTGTTTGTATTGACTTTTAAACATGAAACTGTAGCAAGCATTATTTCTCCTCGCACGTAAGTGCAACAAGTTAAAATGCTTCTACTTCTTAATTAAAACAAATCACTTTACATGTGTGAAGTCTCCATCCTGCAATCATTTGACAAAGAAACACTTTGCAAGACTATAAACACCAGCAGCCATTTTTGACCTCAAACAAATTCCACACATTAACAAACAGACTAGTACTATATAAGGAGATGGATAACAAACGCTTTTAACAAAGCTGTTTTTTGACGTGCCAGCTTTCTAAAAATGTCCTCTAGTCATAATTCAGACTGCATGGGCCCCAAACACAGACAAACTAGGGTAAATCTTCAAAGCCAGGTTTTTTGTACATGTTGCTGAGCTGAACGCAGTTAATTCCAGACTATGAAAACTTACACAAGTGTACTATAGTACAGTGATGGTATCATGTGGTAATACAATGGTACTTTGATAATAAAAACTAGGGTACTGAATAATAAAAAAATAAAATGACAAAAAACTTTAAACTGTTTAACAAAATGAGTTGCTTCAGTTTTACCTGAATCTTCAATAACCTTTTAATTTAGAAATAAATATAAAAAAAACTATGTGCAAGGAGATTGATTGTTTTTTTCTGTGAAAGCATGAAAGTGTTCAAGCCAAATGTGTCATTGTGGAATTGCATATTTATGAGCATTATCAGCGCAGTAAAGTTGTGTTAAGGGAAATGGAGCCAGTACTCTAATCCAAAGTGAGGAAAGGTCAATTGTCAAATTCTCCCCACTCTCAGCAGCCTCTTTTTTAGCCCTGCGCCTCAGATATTTGTGAACGTATGCAGTATGTGCGCTGAAGATGTCAGCGTCTAGCACATCCAAACATTTGAACTGGAAAGAGGAACAGCTTTACACAGCATGAGGGGCTTCAAATATTTGAAACATTTTCAAAACCGCTTTCAAGTCCCATGCTTACTTTGGGATGCTTGTTGTTGCTCTCTTTTGTTGTGTGCAAAGCCAAGTCTTCTTTTTTTGGATGTTAAAATGTGTACTCTTTGGAAGAAAAATGTGACGTCTGTTGAGAAAATAAAATGGAAAAAACACTCTTCTGTGACTGTTATTCCCCGCTGAAACTTTATGCTTGTATTTTGTAACTCAAACAGCATGACGACAAAGCTATAATTTAAGCGAACTTTTTCTGAGGCTTTAGTTTAAATTAATGCAAACATTTTGAGAATCATTCAGGGATTATCTACAAATTGAACAAAATTAAGCTACAACATTCCTTATATACTAATATAGTGTTGTGTGTTTCTTCATTACATGGCTCTAAATATTGAATCTGTTTTTGTGCAAGTGAAATTAGTAAATGCATGCTTACATTTAATCTAGAACTACAAAACAATAATCATCATGTTCACACAGCGCACTTACAACACACTTAAGCACTTTCACACAGAGCGCGACACGATAAAGCTAAGCGAAAAGCAGACGAACGGAGCTTTCACACTAAATGGAAAACCAATGGTTGCCTTCAGTAATTCAAGCCTGCACGATAGGTGTCGCTGACCAAGAATACATTTTTATCATGCATGTACCTCGTAGGTTTTCCCATTTGGCTCATTTCATTGTGGGGTGATTTTCAAACTCGCTTTGTCGTGTTGTGATTGATCACGCCCGGTGTGAGTAACTCCATAGGGATTTATTATTTCGATTCAAGAGCGTCGTCGTGACGTACATTCGCGGCGCTTAATCGCTCTCAGTGTGAAAGGCCCTTTACTCACAATTTTTTTCTCAATGTGGACAGGAGAGATGTCAGTCAATAAAGGGGAAATTCTTCTTGCAATTCTTTTTAAAAAGTAACTCAGATATTTTGTTGTAAATTTAAAAGTAATGCGTCATGTTACTAGTTACTTGAAAAGAGTAATCTGATTACATAACTCTGTACATAACTGATTACTTGTAATGTGTTACCACCAACATAAGTGGGATAATGTACAGTCAGGAGGCTTTTAATGGCAAAACAACCCCCCTCAGGGAACTACAAGACCCCTTCTCTTTACACTGGAGTCCCAATCATCCTGTCAGGGTTTGTTTTGTCATAATGACTGGCAAAGAAAATGCTAATAGCTCTACTCTAAGTCTTGTTTTGTTAATTCCTGAAAATGAAGGAATGGAAAAATTGAATAGACACTCCTTCAGAATAGAGCTCCTTTCAGAAATGCAGTATTTGTATTTTGTGTCAGAAGGACAATGTTTCAATTAGACTGGGCTTATATGAGGACTTTAGCGAGAGCTCTAACTCCAGAGAATAGATCGAATCCAAAACCAAGAGTTTGAGATGAAATGAAGACAAAGACAATAATGTTTCTGGAGCAGAACATGCAGTTCATTCGTAGCACATTTGTGTGGATGTCTGTCACAGAACACAGAAACTGTCCCAATGGAAGCTATACAAAAGGAGCCTTAAATCACTTAAAGGGATAGTTCACTTTGAAATCAATTTTTGATATGTTTTAGCTTACCTCTAGGGCATCCAAGATGTAGGTGTCTTTGTGTCCACAGTATTTTCAATTTTGATATTTTTAGGTCAAACCGTTCTTGTCTGTCAGTCATATAATGGAGTCCTATGGGGTCCACCTCAAAGAGCATACACAGAGAAGTCAAAATTAAACATGATTTAATGACTCGTAAATGTAAGTACACATTGATGGCCTAAGACACGAAACGAGCGGTTTGTGTGAGAAATCGAACAGTATTTATATCGTTTTTACCTCTTGTAAACACAGCCACGTCCAAGTGATCTGAGGGCGCGGGCGCTTCGGTCTTTTCCGGAAAGCGCCGGAAGTGAACTCTCGCGCGTGTACGTCACTCATACAATTGTTTTATATTTTATTTTTTTGGAATTGTTTTCTTTTACGACGGTTTAAACATCCCGGATAAGCGCAAATTAGTACCCTTTTAATTAGCCGTCTTACCTACAATCTCTGTTCTGTGTAAACAATGAGTGACGTACACGCGCGAGGTTTCACTTCCGGCACTTTCCGGAAAAGACCGAAGCGCCCGCGCCCTCAGATCACTTGGACGTGACTGTGTTTACAAGAGGTAAAAACGATATAAATACTGTTCGTTTTCTCACACAAACCGCTCGTTTCGTGTCTTAGGCCATCAATGTGTACTTACATTTACGAGTCATTAAATCATGTTTAATTTGGACTTCTCTGTGTATGCTCTTTGAGGTGGACCCCATAGACCTGCATTATATGACTGACAGACAAGAACGGTTTGACCTAAAAATATCAAAATTGAAAATACTGTGGACACAAAGACACCTACATCTTGGATGCCCTTGAGGTAAGCTAAAACATATCAAAAATTAATTTCAAAGTGAACTATCCCTTTAAGAACTAAACGCAGCAGCACGTCTAATGTGGTTCCCATTATAGAGCGCTCAGTGGGGGAAACGGGAAAAGACGAAGAGGAATTTTATTTATTTTAAAAAAGCTGGCGTTGATAATACAGGGTCAGGGTTGCAGGGGTTCACAATGTGCAGGGAAGGTAGAAAAAATGAGGTGGATGGAGTGTAAAGAGGTATTGGGAGGTGGGGGATGGCTGAAACTTGAGTTGAGACTGATGGTTGGGTCTGATAATGGCTCAAACGGGCCCCTCGGTCAGCGGCCCCCTCCTGCACTCATACACAGGTCAGCACTGGCAGATATACAGCACCACATCAAACTCCTCACTTCTCAGAACAGATCTGAGGTTGGAGGGGGAAAGAGTGAGGTAGATGAAAACGGCAAATAAAAAGAGAATGAATCAGGTTACGTGGACCGTTAACTGTAAAGACAGATAAGATAAAGTGGACTTAAATGCTAAATTGCCAGTGACTATTACAGACGCAACAACAGCAGATGAAGAACAGCTTTAGCAAAGCTTTTCCAAAGACCAGCCTATGCTGAAGTTTAAATAGGGAAGGCCCTGCCTCCCTTGGTTACTGTTGATAAACTTTACAGAACATCCCATAGCAATGAACTGGAGATTTCTGTGAATAGTCGCTACGTTCGAAATGAAATACTTCCTACTATATAACATGAGAAAAAACAATACGCCAACAGAGTAGTATTTCCGAATACATACATAGTATAAAAAACTAGGCAAAAAGTCCCCGGATGACCAACTACTTCTGGTGAGATTCTGAAGCGTGCATTTGATGGACACTTTATAGTTATCGTTATAAGAGTAAAAACTTGGCAATAGGCCATACCTCCAAAAGGATGATTTAGACAAGCTGTTTCAACTAGCAGGGCTGTGCGCAGCTGTTATGGTTATGGATTAAGATAACAAAGGCTAAGAGAGCTTAGTCCAGCAGCGCTTCTATAAGAGAAGACAGCTCTGAACAGGCCAGGACTTCTACACATAAAGATGATAAGATTTAACGAAATATATTACTTATTCAGTGTCACGTGATCCTTCAGAAATCATTTTAATATGCTGATTTGCTGCTCAAGAAACATTTCTGTATACACACTACCTCATCTCTCCCTGACCGGGATGGTCAAAGACTCTGAAACACACATTACCGCCTCAGGGCTTGCACCCCCACCTTTACTGCCCACGTCTGGCCTTTGACCTCCTGGAATAAGGTGCGCTGCTGAGGCATGTCAGGGACCTTCTCATGTGCGCGTGCACACAAGCGGGGGAATCTGCTGTTTTTAGTCACAAGACTGCTTGTGGGACCACAAGACTTTCCATCTATAGTAGCTCCTCGAGGCCTGTGGGCTTCTTTATACGGCTTCAATTTAGCTACAAAATGGCCACCCACAAAATAAACCCCCTTTTATGGGCGCTAGTCATGAGCAATATAACGCAGGTTAAGACATGCCCAGGGCAGTGTGTGTGAGGGGAGGGCGTGGAGCGCTGTTAGTGTCGTGGTATGCCAATGACAAACACTCACTGACAAGCAGATGCCTGCCACATGATGGAAACTGCTACTAGATGTAAAACAGAGATTTTCTTGAATTTACTCAAATGACATGTGATAGTCTTGGAAGCTTCAGTAAAACATGAATT